AAAAATTAAAGTAAGTACGCAATTTAATCGTAGTGGAATTTTCATTTTATTTGAAACAAAGTGATCTTCGAGGGGAAATCCCTGAAGCTATCTTCCAGTACAGTCAGTTGTATAGATCTAATTAAAGTTCATTGAAGAAAGAGTTTTGGGAATTTTTTTTTTTAGATAATGTGAATGTGTTGGCATAATAATGATTTTAATGGTTGTTAATTTGCAACGATGAGAGGTGAATGATTCAAATTATTAGATTAAATGCTGTTATGGATTTTGTCCAAATGTCCTTTCAAACCAGATTTTGTTGTATAACGCTTCATACAAATCTCGCATTGAAAAGCATTTCCACCGTTGTGCGTACGCATATGAATTTTCAAAGATGCCAAATTTACAGTGACATACTTCTTGCAGATATGACATTCATATCTACGGTTTTTGCACACTTTTTCATGGCAATCTCTTTCAACCTCCTGGGGAAATCCACTGAAACAACCTGGGCAATGGAACGGGATTACATTGGTGCGAGTCACTTTGTGCTTCTTCAAATGTTCCATTCTAGAAAATTCTTTGCGGCAAATATCACATCGATATGGTTTTTTCACCAGTATGTGTGAGCATGTGTCGATTAACATGGGATTTCTTATTGCTGGAATATTCACACAGTGTGCACTTTAATCGCTTCTTCGCCTCCATTGGGTTTGATGAAATTGTATTTTGATTCGATGATGATTTTGGAGTAAGACAAGATTCGGCTCGTTTTCTTGAAGATTTCGTTGATTTCGCTGTTATGTTGACACCATCTACCGCGTTTGACCCATTACACAATGTGGCAGTGAATGTGTCGACGCTCGTTTTGTTAATATCGCGACCATCAAGTTTCATATTGAACATTTTCATTGCGGTATTATTTTCTGGGTAGCTTCCATCATCTTCACCATGTCCACCGAATTGAATGGCACATTCCGATTCCAGTTTAACCTGATTTCTTTCTTCTTCGTTGCTTAAGTCGTTGATTTCAAGTGGATCAGGCTTTTGGTTCTGAATCTCGTTAGTGTCAACATTTTTGGTACACATTGAGCTCACCACCTGACATTCAATGATTGTGGACAGATCTCCATACTCATCAACGTATGCTTGGCTCGTCGACAGTGAATCAATTTCGAACCGGTCGTAAGTTTCTTTGATTCTACGAGTGATTTAAAAATAATTTAACGAAAAAGAGAAAATGGAATGAATTCTCAAACTAATTTACCAACCTGTTATACGAAACACGCAAAAAATATTGCTTGAATTCAGCATTGAACCTTAAACCATCGCGATTGAATGCCATTTTGATATTGTTTAAAGAGGCTTTTACTTGTAAATTAAGCGCACCAAGCATGTTATCCATCTCGTCTTTCCAGCTCAACATTTTTCAGTTATTATCTAAATCAGAATACACCGAATCATCACCGAATGTGTACAATTTTCAATATAATTAACAGTGAATCTGTTGAATATTTCCATACTTATGCTGCTCTTACCTTTTACTTCAACTTGCGAACCAATTAATGACAAATGTAAGACAAATGTGAGTTAATTAACAAAACTCTTTGTGGAAAAATCAAAAGTAGTAAAATCGAACTGTATTCTCACGATTGAATGAGATTTTAATTATTACGCTTATCAAATATATTTCGGAGCTCATGAAATAAAAGCTTGCTTTGTGTATGACGAGAGGTGGTGACAATGAACATGCAATTTTCAACCGATGACAACATCTGTCAATATATGTATTTTCGCCATACTCCATTTGGATTTTCGACGATTTCAATTCGCTGCTGTTATTTTTGAACATCGATCGCTAACTGGCGCAAAATAAGTCAATTTAGATTCTGATTGAGATAATAGTTAAAACAATTGAATGCAATTCACTGGAAGATTTTATTTGCTCAGAAATAAAAAGTCATCTAATACCAGAAACCGCTGGAATGATCAATGCAATGAAACAACAATGTAGTTGGATTTTTAAAATTTGGTTATCATTTATTGAAAGTAGTGATTAGAGAAAAACTCCAAATGATATTAGTAAGTTCCTACAACCACGAAAGAGCCTGTGGTATTTTTATGCTTAAGGAAGAGAATATGAATAAGTTGAAATAAAAGTTGAAATGATCAAAAAGTTATGTTTTTAAGTGAGTGTTAGTTTGCAGTCATGATCGAAATTCATGCTTTTATGGGTTGAT